CTCGCGGCCGCGCTGCCCCGCGAGCTGAGCGTGCGGACCCAGCTGCCCGGCTCCCGCGGCTGCCCCTGCGCTCCTGGGGCCGGGGCCCCGTTTGTTCCTCCGCGTGGGCCATCCCGGGACCGTGTGGCTGACATTTAAGGGGCGAGGGCACTCCCTACCATTTAAAACCATCGTTTTCTGCATTTTTCTTATGGTTCTGTGGCGATTTTTCTTTTAAAAGGAAGCAGGTTATCATTTGTAAACCGTCCAGCGCAGCTCAGGAGTAGCCCAATCTAAAAAAGAAAAAAAGTCATTCAATAATTTTTTCATTTTCTGTTACAAGCAATTGCGTTTTGTTATTTCCCCCCCCTAATCAATGAAAACGCAAAACAACCTGATTTCCAGAGATTAGCCTTGGGACTAGGTATTTTACAAATACATTTCTAATACTAAAAATTTTAATGGGAGGTTTAAAAAGTGGAAACATATTGGCTGTGGCTGAAAATGTTGAAAAAGAGACGGCTGTCTTTTCATTTCTTTCCAATAAACCCCAAAACGCAGTCCTTTTGGAATATTTTGCAGGATGTAAAGGGGGTTGGGGATTATTTCTCACCCCCCCCCCCAAGGCCCCATTGTTCATAAACTAAGCTAGAGGCTTGGGAGCAGAGTTGCATGAGTGATATTTGGTTCGCAGTTCTGCTACATTTGATGACTAATGTTATTAAAAATAAGGATCTAAAACTCCAGGGATTCCAGTTCAGCTTTTCAAACACTGACAGCCATAAACGTCCCTTTGGGCAGCTGACAAACCCATAGAAGAAAGAAAATGTATAAAGTTGTGTTGCAAGGAGACTTTAACTGTTTGGGCTGGTGTGTGTGTGTGTGTGTGTGTGTGTGTGTGTGTGTGTGTGTGTGTGTGTATGTGTGTGTGTGTGTGTGCGTGTGTGTGCGCGCGCGTGAGAGAGAGAGTGAGAGAGAGAGAGAGATACATCAGTGGGTCGTGGAGAAAATTAAGAAATATGGACCAGAACAATTCACAGGAGGCCACAAACTAAACAGAAATAAACAGGAAAAAAGAAAAAGATTCAGGGTTAAGATACCTCCTGGACTATTTTTTGCATCTCTAAACCCTTATTCTAGCTGACACCTCTTGACAATTTAATGGTAGTTGAACTTGGGTGTGGGCAACTCCGCTTTCATTTATTCTCCCTTTGTTTATATTTTAAAAACAACAAATATATGTGTTGAATTTTACCTACTCTATCTCTGTCTTCATATTTTAAGAACATTTGTCTTGAACAGCAAGTAGCCCAACATTTTATTGTTCAAACAAGATGGCAGAAACATTCAACTGGGAGGTTGGTTAAAAGATTCAGTATACCTGATGGCCTCGAAATAGAGGACTTGGCTTGTAAACCAGAAGTGGGAAACATAAACAAGATCCAGCCTGAAACAAATCACACAGAATAAATGAGAAAAGGGCAAAATCAAGTCAGGAATTTAGAATTAAGAAGTGCACTGTTTTTTATTTAGAAAGCAAGAGCACTGATATTGCCATGGGCTCTAAGATCCATGCACCTCTGGATGCCTGTCTTTCTGATTCAAAAAATGAGAGGTTGGGTCATGAGTCCTTTTCAGTTCTGAACATCTAGGCACAAGTAGTCCTGCGGAAGAACTATTGTGTACTCTCAGAACTCAGGCCAAAAAAAAAAAGAAAGAAATTAGGCAAAAGTAGGCTTATCTACAGCAGAGGGTCACCAAGCTTAGCCATCTAGTGAGTGGCTTATCTGACACATGTTAACTTGTGTCCTTGTGTGTATTGAAAAAGCTATAGCATTTCTAAGAGTTGAGAGACATATTTTACAGTCCCAACCAATATAAAGAAAGATGCTGTCAGGGTGCCAATTTCAAATTTTTAAAACAGAAAGTTTGTCCGTCATTCAAAATAGTAAATTAAAGACTCTGACTCCTAGAGCTTCAACTGCAAGAATGATTATTCTTCAGGAAGAAACAAACAGCAGTGACCAGTTGTTTTTCATAGACGTGCTCAGCCATCAGAAAAGCTTAATGAATCCCTATTTAGTATGCATTTATTCAGTGATTACATGAACTTTGACCTCTGAAGAGCTGTAGCAATTAGCTTCAGTGTCCAGCATCTTCCCCCACCATTCCCTACTGGCTTCCTTGGTTCTTCCTTTTTTATCTCAGTAATTCGTGCACCAGGAGAGCATAAAATTTTAAAGTTGATTTTCCACCTGAGGTATTTGCTTCTGCACAAGTCAATTCCCCCTCCTTACCCTCTACTCCTGTCTAAACAGCCATTTCAGATGGATATTGGGGCTCTGATTGTCGATATTACTCAAACGCAAATGGATTTCAATTCAATCTTGCCCTGTACTTTCGAAAAGAAGATAAACTCTAATGGCCCAAAGAGCTTCATTTCATAGCTCGTGGCATCTGAAATAAATCGGATCCCTCTGTCAGGCTAATTTAACGTTTTTTAAATATTCAATGTAATTTATTTTAAGTCAAATGAAACCTAGTAGATTGGCAGAAAGTTAAAAGGAGGAGGCAGGAGAAGGACAGCTGGAAGCTCGTCTCCCTCCTCCCCCAAAAAAGAGCAAGGAAGGGAGATGAAAGTGTTTTAACTTTCTAGAAAACACTGTTTAGCAAAAGAATAATAGGAAAGTTGCCCCTTCTCCAAAGAGGGATGGAACTATAATTGTTGCCTTCAGCGGAGAGCTCAGATAAACCGCTGGGACTCATTCTAAAGTGACCCATCGCTGCATTCATCTCTTCTTGAACTTTCGGTGAACCTGAGATTAAACAGGGGTGAGCAGCTAAGCAGTTTGTTGTTAGCAGCCTTTTCAACAACCCTTTCAGACTGAGTAAATATTGATCGGTTTGAATCTGATTGCCCCAGAGGAAAACACCATGGCATCTGAATAGCCTCCAAAAGTAAACTTTCAAAGGTGAAGCCCAGAACAGGCTTCAGAGCCACAGTAACATCTCAACACAGCCTAGTTTGGGGATTCCCAGAATTTCAGGATTATTTTAAATGAATGTGAGTGGTGAGAGGAAAAAACATTTGAAAACTGGAACTTTATATTGCATTTGTCCTAAGTCCTTAACTGAGACTCTTGTTCTTTGTAAATCTATCAATAAAATATTATTTTCTGTTTTACCTCTTTTGTCATCTCATTTACCATTGCTGTCATTTTTCAAGGCGCTAACTGTGCTCCTCAGAGACCAAAACAGAAAAAGAGAGACCTTGAAATAGGATGTTAAGCGCCTTTGATTTAATCGATTGGGACAACTACAAAGATACAAATGTTTTTCTTGTTGAAAGGTATATTAATGTTTCCTAAATGCATTGCTTATTAACTGATTTATTCCATTACCTAGAGAAGGCTTGGGATGTTTAGCCATAATTAATCTCTCTCTCTCTCTCTCTCTCTCTGTTTCTCTGTTTCTCTCTCTCTCTCTCTCTCTCTCTCTCTCTCTCTCTCTCTCTCCCCCCTACATTAAAAAACCAGCACCTAGAAGATTGGAATCTCCAGGATTCCAGCGAGTCGGGCCCTGCTTTTAGATATTGAAATCTTGGCAGTGGCATGCAAATGACACTTTAACACATTAAAGTATTTGGAAACCAGCCATCTGTTTTGCTGTGTGGCCTTACACTAATAAACAAAAGATACTGTATAAGGCCAGGCAGGGGAAAATGAAAGAAAGAGTTGGCCCACTTTGAAGTTTTCCCCCATCCACTTGAGTCTTTTAGAAGCAACCCCAGAACCCAGGAGCCAAGGGGAGGGCACCGGGTGCCCTTGATATGGCCGCAGCAACTGTGCCTGCAAAATCTAGGCTTTCCCCCTTTGACAAGGAGGTACAGGAAATCTCATAGGTGCTCTAGGAGGCCTGTGAATTTCAAGTTTTTGTAGGACTTCCTCCTCCTAGACCCCCAACCCATCCTTTGTAAAACATACTTTGGAGAGGAAGGAAGTCATATGTCTGTATTTGTTTGTGATGCTGTAAATTTTCTACTCTACCCTTGGGGCTAAATTAAAGCCTCTGAAAATGTGTGAAAGTAAAGAAAAATTGGTAAGCAGTCTAGGAAAGCCACTTGGACCTCTTTGATTCGTTGGCTTCCTCTGTTGGAGAAACACATGCCTTGGTTAGAAGCAACTTGAATAGTGAAAGACTTCAAGACGACTTCCACAGGTTCACCTGGAAGAACCTGTTGAGCCCAGAGAAAAAAATTAAAACTGTTTTCCAGGGTTATGTGACATGGAATTAAGAACTGAAGACCCATTACAGCCATGCTGGCTATGAAATCAAACCTGAAACTGATGGGAGTGAGATGTGTAATCTAGATGGGAAGGCAGGGTGTGGAGGGTGGCAGAAGGGGTAGATATTGACAGGAGGGATGCAAGGATTTACTTAAAACAGACCACACTCAATTTAAAGGGTGGAATACATTGAACACTGACAATCCAAAAAGAAGCAAGAAGGGTGAGGTAGGGGTCCCCATCCTCAAACAGCTTTATACTGGAGCTAATTAAATGTGAATCTCTTAGCTCTTGGTTCACTGATGTGAGGAAAGACTGACTGAAGAGTTTCGGCTTTGAAGGGGGTTCTGTTTATATATACGTCAACATTCAGTTGGAGGTGAAAAGGTTAGCACTTGACCCAGGAAGTACCCATGTTTGTTTCAAAAATAGATCTGCTTTATAAAATTCTTCACCATTTTTTTCCATTATGAACTTTGATTATAGTAAGGGAACTACTGTTATTTTAAAGAAAATCAAACTATTATAAACACTGGCTAGGTGAAATTACACTCATAGGGGAACCTTCAACTACATAGTGGAAAGCACCTTTTTTCCCCCCAAGAAAAGTCCCATCTCTTTGAAAATGCACACCATCCTTCTCCCCTTCCCCACACAAAATGACCCAACTGTGTAGGAACCATCAAACTGTAGCTAAAGCAAATACACGGATCCTTAAGCATATCTGAAACTTGAATATATTTATTACAGACTTCTTAAGACCCGTAAACTCTACTCTGGATCACATCACTCCAGGATCTCAGAGCTGTTCATGATTGTACAGGAAATGGGAAATACCATAGGCTCACAAAGGATAACTGATAGAACTCAGTGTGGTACTTTAGGGACATCAAAACATTGTGCGACATGCAAAAGACTATTCACGAATCACACAAATATACATTCATTGTGCCATCCATCACATTAACAATTGAGCTGAAAATACATCATATCCAGCTAAGATAACTGAGGAAGAAGCTGGTTTGAATAATATCTAGGTTCTGAATAATCCAGCACAAAGTTTAAATAGTGTGGCCAGAGTAACGAGAAAGGGGTGGGGATGGCAAGAGACGTAGCACAAGCAGCAAGGTTTCTGAACCTTGTTGTCTGCAGGCCTTTTCACCTCATTGAAAGAACAAATTGAGGCTAACCTCTGAGGCATCAGATTGAGCTTAAATGAGGGCTTTCATTTTTTAAACCTATAATCACATATAAAATTGTACCAGATTTGAGAGTTTGCCCACCCTGTGTTAGTCACTTAATCTAAACATTTCTAGAAAATCTGTATAAAGATAAATCTCTTGGGACAAGGTATTTACAACCAGCAAGCTCACACATGAAATGGAATTAAATTAAAAGGTGAATTAATTGTGTAAACACGCTCATAGTGCATCTCTTCTTCATGAGCTCCTGGACTCTCTCCTTTCTACCCCACTTGGAGGGCAAAGTAGGGGAGAACTGTAAATATACAGATAGATAAAAGATGTGAGGCCTCCCTTTGACATGTTTCTGCTGGCAAAGGAGGCTATTTTCCAAAGGGCATCTGAAAGGAACAGTAGGTACACACGCGCGCGCGCACACACACACACACACACCCCAAATCAAGCATCTAGTCCAGAATTCTCAGTAAACACATTATCCTGCCCAGGAGCTTCCCAGATAGGATCAGAAAGAAAGAAAGAGGCTGCAAATGGAAAGGAAGATAAGCTAAGAATGTGCTTGGAGTAAGTAGTCCCAGTCCAAGGAGCAGCCCGGGTTGCGGAGCCTGGGGCTGGCCGGCCTCAGTGGGAGGCAGTCAGAGTGTCTGAGGTAGAAGACCCCGGGGAAGGAACGCAGGGCGAGGAGCTGGACTTCTCTGAAGACTCATCGGCCTTCTCCTCGCTTCCGGGCGGGGTGGCGGGAGAGATGGGCAACAGGCCCTCCTTCTCTCGTTTCTTCTGCTTCATTCGGCGGTTCTGGAACCAGATCTTCACCTGGGTCTCGTTGAGCTGCAGGGCGGCGGCGATCTCCACCCTGCGGGCGCGCGTCAGGTACTTGTTGAAGTGGAACTCCTTCTCCAGCTCCGTGAGCTGCTTGGTGCTGAAGTTGGTGCGCACCGCGTTGGGTTGGCCCACGTAGCCGTACTCTCCAACTTTTCCTGGGGGCAGGGTGGGAAGCCATGAGAGGAAAAGGTAAAATTTTAACAATCCATACGTGATCCCCTACAGGTTCAGAGCAATATTCAGGTAAAGGGGAAATCAAGACTTTCTCCACACAAACCGGGCTGGGGAGGGTGAGTGATGAGGTGTAAAGTGTTAATCTGAAGTCAACCATTAGCGTGGTCAGACCAGTGATTAATGGAGCCTAGAGATATTACCAGAACAACTACACACACACACACACACACACACACACACACACACACACCCCTACCCACTTCCTACTTCTAGAATATCTAAATCTCAGCCCCTTTGGAAACACAACAGTCCCAAACGCTTCTTTGCCCCATCACACACCTGGGCAATCCCCCCAACGCCCTACAACACCGGTGGGAAGCAAGAATTTTTTTTATTATTATTAATTTTCCTTGAAAACTAAGCACACTAACTCCTTCCAGAATCATCAAGGGATATCCACAGAATGGCAAGACTGACCTGTTTTGGGAGGGTTTCTTTTGACTTTCATCCAGTCAAAGGTCTGCGCTGGAGAAGGTGTCTCTGATGCAGGGGAGCGACAGGCTTCTTGGTGGCTGGCGTGGAGAGGGGACAAGGAGTTATTATACGTGGTCAGGGCCAGGCTCTGGTGCTCTTGTCCATATGAGTGGTGAATGTACTGAGGCGATCCCACCGCGCCCCCGGCATAACCCTGGTGGTGGTGGTGAGGTTGGACCATGGGAGATGAGAGATTTCCAGAGTAAACAGCGGGAGCGCACGAGGGGTACCCACCACTTACTTCTGCTTCCTGATTTAACGCGTAGGGGCTGTAAGGCGCGCTGAAGTTCTGCGCGCCGTAGCCTGGACCACAACTCGAGTGGGAGTAGGACACTCCCAGGTTCCCAGGAGTCTGGTAAGTGGCCGGCTGGGTGTGGTGATGGTGGTGGTGGTGGTGGTGGTGGTGGGAAGAGCTGATCTGCACCCCCCTGCCCACTAGGAAGCGATCGTCGCCGCCACAGTTGTTGGCACTGACCGCGCACGACTGAAAAGTTGTAATTCCATGGTCTGAGGGATAGGCTCGCGCTGAGCAGGTCCCCGAGTCTCCACTGCTGAGGATGGGGTATTCCAGGAAGGAGCTCATTCTTGCATTGTCCATCTGTCACTGAGTGACGGGGTCCTGCGAAGCCCTAGGTGACGGTGCCAACTTTCTCACTTCCTCCATGGGGCCGGAGAAGAAAAATGATATGAATGTACAGTGCGCAGGAGGGGGGGCAGGAGGGCGGAGGGCGCTACCGGGGGCACGTGATTATGGCAGCCAATGGCGGAGCCTCCTGCGAAAGTTTGCTGGCTCCCGCGGTGATGGATCACTGTTTCAGTGGCATTTAAATCCCCAGCGCTCCTCAGTCTAGGTGACGCGCAGTCGCCCCCCCAGGCAGCCCAGGCGGCGGCAGCAGCTGCGGCGGCTGCAAGGGCAGATTCGGAGCGCTGGGGCGAAGGGGAGCAGAGGCTTCCTTCTGCGCGCGCCGACTGCGCTCTCCCCCCCCTCCGGGAGGTGGGGGCTGGGAAGCATTCCCCCGGTCTCCGCCCCCCTCCCCACGGCGCACAGAAAGTTGAACTGAAGAGAGGTGAGAAGGGAAGAGGGCTCCGCGCTCTCTGGGGTGGGGAATCAGTGGGCCCGAGCTCGGATCGCGCCGAGCAGAAGGGGTAGGATCCCAGCCGGTATCGCAGCCCAAGCTCCCCGGGAGCTTTCACAGCACAGACCCTGCTGTGGCGCTTTGGGGCAGTGAGGAGCGCAGAGCGCGGTGGCCTAGGCTCCAATGGAAAAGAAAGTGCGCTGACTGGGAGGCACCGGGTGGGCGTGGAGAAGACAGGGGCAAGAAAAGAAACTTCCCTTCTCCACGGAGGGTCTCGGAAGCCCCTTACCTCCACCCACCTCCCCCACAGACTATTAGTACGGCAATACGGAGCTGCTGTAATTCGACGCCCCGTAGCCGGGTAAGCTCTAGGAGCTGAGCTTGCTGGAAAAGGCCAGGGCTGGCTGGGTTCATCGCCCTCCCTCTCTCCTCGCTCTCCGCCCCTTTCTCCTCCCTACTCAGCTGTGCTCTGAGAGCCTTATGGGATCCGGAGCAGCTCGGCCACTGGATTTTGAGGGGTAGGAGGCGGGGGAGGGAGATGACGCTAGCGGACGTGGCTAGCGTGGGGGCCGGGCTGTGCGCTGCAGGCCATCTGCCGGCTCTGCAGGACCCAGGAGCCTGCGCGCTCCGGCGGGGGTCTGGAAGGGCGAGACCACAGCTCTCATGAAGTACGCTGACATCACCCCTCCCGCAACGTTTCTCGTTTTCTTAGGGGGGAATGTTAGGAATTGGTAGAGCTTCCTTTATTCACACACACCCATTCTACTGGCAGGTGGGAGGGGCTGTGGACAGATGGCTGATGGTGGACGGGACATTTTCTTCTTCCCCAACACCTCCTCTTCTTTGTAACTGACTGTGTAGTTCCCTGTATGAACCTTCAAGTTCCCTAGAGAGACACGTGCAAATCTGAGAGTCATCCTTGGCCAGGGGTCCTGTTCTCCATCACCCTCATCCTACCCTGAAGCTGACGGGTCATTAATTGCTGTTTACTATTAGGTTTCGTGTCAACCCTTGGCTTGTAAAGAGAAAAGGCCAGAGGCCGAGAATTGAAGCATTCTTAAGTAAAAGAAATCCAGAGATCATCCAGGAAGCTTTGCAGCCAGTGAGATATAGATTTTTACTCTGACCATGTTTACCACATGGAAATCCGACACGATGAAATTTATCTGAGGATTGTATGTGGATTTAAGGATTCCACTCTCCTCTAGCTTTACCTCCCCAGTTAGAAGAAGGAGGTTTTGCTTAAGGCAGACGCATTTCAAAGGTGTTAGTAAACCTTTCAGGTTTCTGCGTTGTTCTTCACATATAGGGGTTCCCCCAAAACCTGCCCCCCAGAAGGAAAAACTTGCAGACATGTGACTATGGACTCCCTTCAGTAGCAAAGAAACATTTTCCCTTAACATTGCCTTTTGAAAGGGTATTTGTATGTTACCTCTGACTCATCCCCAATCACAGTTAAGAGGGAACACAGGCAGGCAAAGTCACTCCTGCTCCATTTGCAGCACTTGGGGAACGTTATCCTGGAGAAGGGAATAGGCAAGGCGGCCCTCCTGGAGGCGGCTTCCTTGGGCGCGCCAAGGCCTCCAGCGCTGGGGAGAAAGGGGGCTTCTGTGGGGGAGGAGGCGGGACGTGAGAGGGTTTGCACTGGCATTGCGGAAGATCTGCTCTCCAAGCCGAAGCTCGTTGGTACGTTCTCTCCCTTGGCCTCCTTTCTGCCCCTTTGTCGGCCTCCAAGGGCCCGGGTTTACGCGACCCCCTCGGCCTCAGGGCTCGTACCACAAAGCCATCCCTTGACACACCGGTCTCCTTCTGCTAGTTCTCGGCCTCTGTGCTCCTCTCTCCTCTCTTCCTTCCTGCGCGGCTCTTTTCAGGGACAGTAGGGGAGAGTGCATTTCTTGGCATCACAGGCTTGCACTGGCACACAGGCAGGCACACGGGAGGGAGACCCACCCGCCTCGGCGCATCGCTCTACGCAGGCCCGGCTCTCGCAGCCAAGCCGGCTCCGCCCCGGCTGACCGCCCTGAGCGCTGATCTCCGGGAGCAGCTCACAAAGACAGCTTCCCTGGCCTCAAGCCCGCAGGCTTCCGTAGCTCAGGTCCTTCCCCACCCCCACAAAATCCTGAGGCTCTTTCTGCCGGGTAGGAGACCCTCTGTCCTCCCGGCAAGTAGGCCAGCGCCCCACGACTCGAGCTAAATTTCCTTTAAACGCCCAGGGAGAGAGGGTGCAAAGCGAGTTGGTCACCAAATGATCGCCTGCAAGCGGCTTGCACGGCTCCAAGCACCTCTTTCAGGGCTCCTCCACTAGGAAGAGAAGGAGCGGGGAGCAGACAAAACGCTGCCGAGGCCTTGAGCTGTTCATAGCATACGCGGCTCAGCCAAGCTGTTGTTTTAAAAGAGCAATAAAAATGAATTATGACTAAACGCCTTCTAACTTAATGCTTTCGGACGGGGATCCCCGGCAAATACGTAAGAGGATTTTTATTTGTGCATGTGTTCCTGCAATTGATCTCTTTGATGACATTCTCATTCATAGAAAGCGTTTGATTTATGAGCGTAGGACGAATCGCAAACAGCAGCGGCTCAGCCCTGGCCGTTGCCCGGCAGCTTTGCTCCGCGCCGTGCAGAGGGCAGGAAACCCGCCGGGGTCCTTACGAGCCTCCGTCGCTACCCCGACTTAGGGGGCAAAGGGGTGGGGGAAAGTAGGGAGCAAAACCCCTGGAGAACGATCCCGATTTCATCATAACTTTCATGCCTGTGCTAGTAAGAGCTGAGCTCTTAAATCAACCCGCCCCCACACATGTTGCTTACACGCTGCGTTTTCTCACGGTAAGTAGCCATCAGAACTGAGCTCAGTAAGAGAAAAATAAACATGGGGACACATAAGAAGGGAGGGACAGAACAAGCCAGTAACATACCCTAGATCACATTTTATTGATATTTCATATAAAGTGCTTTTTTCTCTTTCTTTTTTCTAGACTGGTTAATTTATAACCTAGGGTGCAGAAACACTTAATTTTAAAGCTGAACTAGCTAACCTGACTTCAAAGCTTTAATGCTCCATTATTTGCCATGTAAACAGATTTAAGAATGAAATATTGATTTTTCTGACCCTGAAAAAATAAAAAGAATCCTAGAATGACTGAACCAGAGGATTGGAAAGAACCCTTTCTGGAGTGTATTTTCCAGCTAGTGACCATCGTTTTGTTTTATTTTTGTTTTTCTCTATCTTTTAGGTCTGTTTGCCTGGACTCATCAACAGCTGGGAGACTAATCAACCATATTGAAAATATTCAGGATTTGTGGGGGAGGGGTTGGAATGTAGATGTTTGAAACAAATGTGTATAAATAAATGAACTGTTGATAACTTAGTTATTGACCTGGAGATTAGTAGCTTGTTAAAGAAAAGTCCATGTTCCTGGAGTTGGGGGTTTCTGTAGGCACTTTATTTCTCCACTTTCAAAAGCTTGGGCTTGGCACAACTCTAAGGCTTCCCAATCCTGATCCCATTACCAATTTAAATCTATGGCTTGAACCTCTACACTGAAAAACCAAATCCATTCCCTTTAAAAAACTAAAAACAAAAACAAACAAACAAAAAACACTTCTCAGATGCCCTAACCATTTCCTGGCTTTCTTTTTTGTTGCTCTCTGTTGAAGATTTTGAACGTGCCCCCTTAATAAATATATTAAAATTGAAAAAGAAGATGAATTGTGACCAGAATTTTATTTACCAAGTTAGACTAAAAGAAGAAAAAGAAACCATTAGGAGCTTTGAGAAAGAGGGGAAGGAAAAAAATAAGAAAGCTACTTATAGCAAAGGAGAATTTATTCTACCAAAAATACGCATGACAATGCATCCTAATGTAATACAAAAATAAAAAGAAAGTGAAGATACAATTATATGATCACTTTCTTGCAGGCCTCGTATTGCTTTTAGTAAATCACATAGAGGGTTGTTGGATTAGATTTTAAACAACTAAAACTCCAAAATAACCTGTAAAACGCCTCTGAAACTGGGTCAGGGGAATCACTAAACAGAAAATCTTCAACATTTAGAGGAGGAAGAGGGTAGGTCAAGAAAAAATAAAATAAAAATCAACTCTCAGAATAAAAGGCCAAACCACCTGGTCAAAGGGGTTTTTGTTTTGTGGTGCTTTGTTTTGCTTTAATGTTTTTAGTAATTCAGATGCTGCAAGTCGATTGTGGTGAGTGTGTCTGTAAAAAAGTCAAAGCTGTCAGCTGAAATATCTACAGGACTGTCGAGGGAACCTGGCAAACTGGGCGAGACTGCATCTGAAAGCTGCAGGCAGGAATCTGTGGAAAAAACGTTAAAGTCCTGCAAAGAGGGGACCTCGAGGGCCTCGGGACTGTCATTGTTTAGGCCAGAGCCACAGTTCTGGCCCATTGTTGACAAGCAGTTGGGAACAGTGGGTGACTGGTGCTGAAAATGTTTCAGATTTTTCTCATTGCTGGTTAAAGGCGAAACTGGGAAACTTTGGGAGTCGCCATTGTGTCCATTGGGAGCCTGCTGCTGAGAGAGGGCATTTTGCTGAAAAGTGTAACCTTCCCTCTCCAGAAGGGCCCCGGAGACGCTGAGGGCTTGCTCA